ATTCAGGAAATGAAAGCGCTTAAAGCGGTGATCACAATAGGGCTTAATAAATTCAAATGCAAGTTGACTGCAACTCAAAATTTTTTGCACTGCATGTTTCCTTTATTATGGATCCTAATTCTACAAGAAAAACTCCTGTTAACTTGCATTTGAATTCATTACCGCCACCGTAAAAATAGACAATTTAAAGTAATCGATTATAGCTCGACTATAGCTCACTACAAGGCGGTAGACTGTATCTTATAAATATTATACTATAACTTTGTTGCCCGCTATAGACATATATATGGATGGAACGCAGGATAAATACCTGGCCATCGCGGACGAGAGCTGTCCCTAGTTATTATATGCTAGACGACGTCTGGAATTACCGATTCTAAACTTACATTAAACTACGCTTTACCCATTTCTTCATTGGTACAACTAAAATCTACGCGTAAACGCCCACCAATATTCATTGAATACTAAATTTAATTTGATATAAAATTGACACTGACATTGAGTGCTGCATCGCTGTAGCTTCCTGAATGTTTCCTATCTCCATCAAGGCCAGCACTAACAAATGATAGAAAATATCACATGTTCATCAGCGGAAGGACCAATGAACATTTGATTAGATAATACGTCGAAAACATCCTGAATACGTACGTTACGCGTCTACCCATCATCGAAACAAGGTTAAAAGCTATAACCGTTTGCTGAGAAAATATTATTGTGAGTTGTAACATAACTGCTCGACGAAACGTTTTTGACTGCTGTGGTATCTTTGTAGAACCCAATGCTTCTAGAGCTCTTGTGTAGCGAAATAAGCTTACATTCTAAAACTTTACACCTAGATGACAGATGCCCAGACTGGGGATTCCAGTTGCATCAAAATTGGTCAACCGTCTTCAAAAATAATAGATCATACCCATCAGAGCTCGAGCGGGAGATTATACAGGGTGTTCCTTAATGATATGCGAATATTTAAGGGTTTGAATCTACATGAAAAATTAATGTTAGTTTGCTTTATAAACTATAGTTCAAAAATGTTTCCTTACAAAAACTCGGGCTGTTGAAGTTTTAGGAAAAAAATATGGAAATATAATTTTTTTTAAAAATGGCGCATCGAAGGAAAACCATTTGAGAGATCATTTGTTTTGAATTGAACGGGGAATTCAAAAATAATAATAATTTTTATTTGACAGAAAACCATTGGCGTACCATTTTTTTCTTAAAAAATATTGAAGTCAATACCCGTACGCACGCCACTGTTAATGCTAAAAATTATTTTTGTATTGAAAAATACGCAACTTTATTAACTTTCACTACGTACTAAATATCAGTGAAATATCTGAAGCGGTTCTGAAAATATTAATTTCCATTTTTTTTCCTAAAACTTCAACACCCCGAGTTTTTGTAAGGAAACATTTTTGGACCATAGTTTATAAAGCAAACTAACATTAATTCTTCATGTATATTCAGACCCTTAAATATTCGCATATCATTAAGGAATACCCTGTATATAGTTATTACCGAAACAACCCTGCTTTTCTGTTGTCGTATATCAAATCCCTAACACCCCGTCATATAACCTTCAAATATCCAAACAAATATGATAGCAAAGTTAAGGGTGTAGGAATATTCGAATATCTTGGAAAGCGTTGAATTGATATCAATCAAATCTTAACCAGAACAGTAGTCAATTGTTTCCGATCACATGATAATAACTGAGTTGAAACGTTGTCTTTTAACCAGAATATTTAATCCTCGAGTACTCCTTGGTATATCTCATAAGCAGCAAGGCATTAGCCAATATGCCCAAGAAGATCTGTTAGTATAGTTAGACGTAGCATTACTTCTGAATAAATACCTAATCCGGCAACAATTTGCAATTATACCACCGCTCTATAAGGGGTAGTTTCCCAGAGATTCCATATACTTCCTAACTTTTGCTTATGTTACAAGGTCTTCGTAAGTGGACTGGATTAAGTTCTACCATTGGAAAGTTACACTAAGAGATGGAGAAGTTGTAGGGTGTTTAATGTTCGATAATAAACAGGGTACTATTGAATCCAAAGTTATAAAGTAGTAATGCTTCTGAGTAATAAATAAGTTTCGTAATAACGTGGTTCCAACTGATTCTAAACAATTGATTATCCTCCAGTACAGAATCTGGTGGAAACAGTAATAATAACATCAACAAATAATAAGCTTGCATTTATATTAATAAATAATAGTTTGAAAAAATAAAAAACACGCTTTTATAGCTAACCGCACTAAAAAGTAGAAAATAATTTTTAATTACACAGAGTTTATATTACAGTAGTAGATGGTCGAACAGTCAATCATAATGACCTCAAAATAAAATTATGATAAAATTTAAGTTATTAAGAGAATAACTAAATTCAGAGTAAAAAGCGTGGGGTGCTTCATATATATTCAATTTTACAATCCTTCTATCGGCAACTCCCCAGTGACAACTCCATTCTAATCTCTAGCCTGGCATTTTATGGATAGACCCGTATTCAAGTTTCGCTTTTAAGGATTGGTGATGACCTCCAACGAAACTGAAAACCTAGTAACCCTGCACGTATATAAGTATGCTCCGACTACTCCTTGGACTTACTGAAGTGATTTCGAGATTTTGCAACCTACATCACTCTACTGGATGTACCATTGCATCATTTGAAACTTTTCTTCTTGCGACTATATTTTTTGACAAATTTGGAAGCAATTAATAACACATATTTACTCTTCAAAGCCCTAAAACAGAATGGATCTGTGAGTATGGGCGACGACGTACGAGTCAAGAATGAAGCAGCCGACTCTGCGCTGTTGTCAGGTTTATTTCCATCAATTACTCAGGCTATCTTTCTTACAAAAAACAATCCATGAAAAAATAATATTAGACCTTAAAACCTAAGCGGTTACAGAAAACATGAATTTCTTTCGCCACTACTGGCACTCGTTTCGCGAGGATTCCATCTTCCAGCAGGAATGAATGTATGGAATGTAATTGATTCCTAACCTGTAGTGTGACGCTTGACTGGACATCTTTATTGTGGGTGACACCTCCAAGGTGACATAATATACTCATAAAGCTTGGAAGGTGTAATGTTGTCAAGTACTTAAATACCTACTTACGAAGTTGTCAATCCGGTACTGTCTGTTATGCCGACAGACACAAGCTCGTAAGCTTTATTGAATGCTAATGTAACCGATCTGTAATTAGTTTACAGTTTGGAATGTTGTGTTTACTCAACTATGCAATGGATCCATGGGAACGATAAAAATCCTATTTTAGGCTCTCCGACGAAATGTATGCGAGCCATAGGCGTACTAGTGAAGGCCAGCCTCTTGATCAAATTAGACCGGGTTGATTTATTTGATAAATTGTCGATCGTGTTAAGGACACGTTCGACTATGATAAGGTAATGGTCAAGCTATTTGGATGCATCGAAGGCATCTGCTTTATTTATATTGTCAAGTAGTTAGAGATACGCAGATACTGATATTCCCTGGCAGACGTGGGATAATAGGTTCTGCGTCCTAACACTGAAAAGTCCGCATCTATGTATTGGTATTTACAATAACTTGAATCAGTAACTTATTTCTTGGTCTATATCAGCCGATATATTTGACGATTTGTCGGTCTAGCATTCCTCCCTGATCTAACTTTCGACACGTTATGAATATACACGTATATGTATAAATACCTCAGAATTTAGAACTGATACTGCAGATTGGGCTTTTCTCGAACCTACAGCGAGCCCTAATGCCCGAAATCAGTAATTAGACGAGACCAAAATCCGTGGGGGAAATTTTCCTTTTCGGTTGACACATTTTCTAAACAAATTACAAATACTGGTTTTTCGCTCCGGACAAAGTTTTTGTTAGATAAACACTCTGAATAAAAAATATTTGTAGACATTTAGGTATGTTTAAAGTTGACAGTTCAATCCTAAAAAGCCTTAAAAAGTGCTTAAAACCTCGGTTGCAAATTATTATTTTTGGGTTGCCAATTGACTAAATTAAAGCTAATATCTTTACCTATAAGTCTCCAAAGAGCATCTTGAGCTTACATCATTGTTGATTCAGCATTTAGAATGGAGTTTGCCAGGCTTTAAGTCAACTATAACTCGAAAGCGATCAACCTTGAAACACATTTTAATAACTTTTCATTCAGAATGATCCAAGGTACCTGGAAAACTTTGTTCGGAGAGAATTCAAAGATTATAATTTGTCCAAAAAACTGTTCTTTCTTGGTAACCTTTTAAATTCATGTTAAGGAACATGCAACAAACGTAATTATGAGAAAAATTTAGGAGGAAAACTTCTGTAAGGAATGCGAGGTTTTTTCCTCGTCTGTATAGAGTATTTGCAAGATTTTTTTTCATTTGTCATTTTATGCGTAACCAGCTAACAGCTGGCAAACCGACAAATGGTGTACAAAGTTCATAAATATATTTACTGAAAGGTTATTCTGCTCCTTCATCACTAACATTTTACTGGCATCTGAAAAACCAAGTGCTGACGCCATATCAGTGTTCTCCTATATAATCGTGATAAAATATGTGCAGAAATAACTTTCTAGTATTTTTTTTTGTATTTGGGCTTTCCTCTTCTTTTGTTTTACGCCATAATAAAATTTGAGAAGCGTACCTCCAGATGGTCCAAAGCCAAGATTGCTTTTTATCATCTAATAAAGGTTGATGATGTATCTATCAAGTCATCTAATATCTAGCAAATAAGTCGATATTAAACCATTTTTAGGTAAGTAAAGTGAGCGGAAACAACACGATCCGGAACAGCAACTGAGGAGTACTACTCTAATTTTTGGTTGAGTATCGCCAATGTCAGTTTGAGACACAAATGATCTCTTAACTTCTGGAGGTAGGTTTATCAAATATTAAAATTTTGGAAGGTAAAACTAAAATAACAATCACAGGAAATTATTGGAAAATATATATTAAAAATATAAAAATCAACTGTACAAAAATAGACAAACATATGAATAAATATATTAAATATACACTTTATACAAATATATAAACAAAAATGTACAGCAAAAAATAATTACAATAGCTATACAGAACTATATACAACAGAATTGAAAATTAGCGTATACAGAAAAGTTACTTGAACGAGGGAACTGTTCTATAGAGTAATTCTATTTCACTAAATTTAAATCACATGATCTAGGGTGCGCTACCCCGTTTATTCTCTTAGATCCCTCTGACCCGTTTTGGACGAACGCTCGAGCATCAATCTGGTGTTTCAGGAAATCCTGCATACAGAAAACGTTTCTATTAGAAATCGGAATAATTTTCGACTACAATCAGATTCACAAGTTTTCATATAAGCTATATCATTCTTTCATAATATAATGTGATGCTGAAGTCTTATGATGTATATAAAGATTTTGCCGAGGTAGATGAAAATAATTTCACAACAAGTTGCCTACTCATATGTTTTATATTAAAAAAGAAGTAGTAATGGATGTTCGAATTACTTGTATTCATATATGTCGTCTAATTTAAAAACTGGACAGTAATACTTAAAGAGCGTGAACAACCCAAAAATGGCTAGCAAACTTTACACTTTTAAATTTGCAATCTCAATTATACAAAGTATACAATAGAACTACAAAAACTGCGACCAGCAGAAAATTTACCACATTATTTTTATCAACTATGAGCAAGCTATCAGCGCAAAAACTATTCTCGTAAACATTATAATTAAGAAGTGGGTTCCCTTTCAATACCACGTTAGCTTACGAAGCTGATAGGAGGCCAGTTCCATTGAAAATTTTCATTTAATGTTGTAATATTTTTGTGTGAGTTAATAACTATCAAGAACCAATTTCACTATTGTAGCGTAACAAGCACTTTAAATATCATGAAGAATAGTTTGCATTAACTGTATAAAGCCAACGGGATGTTTTCTACCGAGGTGTCGTAACATTTTTTAAGTTTCAACAAATTACAAATTCATCTACGACTCGAACCCTCTGTTTCTTTCTGACAAATGCGTTTAGCTTTTTACTTCGAAGTCATATAAGCATAGGGATCGCCAGATGCAGTCATAAAGTAGGCATGTAGATAAAAGCATCCTACCGAGCTCAGTGATCACCCCGATGATCACCTGGGGTGAAAAAGGTTTGGTTTAGGAGGCACCGGTTGCTTTTATTGCCTTACGCAATTTACTTTCGGCGATGTTATATATTTTTGAAGTATTTAGGTTTTAATCAAAATACTGTAAGTGGTCTTTGGAAAGAAGGTAATTATCAGTCCGCGGGATAGGGTTTAGCTGTGTTAGCAGACGGATTCGTAAAGATTGTATCGAGATTCAAATGTCTGCTCAAATAGAAACTAAAATATGTATCAGCAAAAATGCGTTATTCCGATGGGAAATAGTTCGGAGAACAAGTAACCTCCGTACAACTTAATAGATAATAATCAAGGTATTTCGCATGACGATATCACCGAAAATCGATGAAATTGCAAGATTTGGGGCGATAAATAGCGCATAAGTAGGTACATAATCTCTAATGAAAAAAATCAGTGCATAAATCAAGGTAATCTATTCAAAAACTAAGTATATTATGTTTAGACATGGAGAAACCTTGATGAAAACATTGAAAAAATTTCAGATCCCAGGTTTGCTTCAAGGAGAAGATTTCCAGACAAAAGCGCAGGCTACCTGCCTTTTCAAAACTTTCAGAGGCAGCAGGTGCATCATTCAAGGTGTTATTTTACGAAATGTTATAAGGACGGGATTAATATTTGATTTGTGATGTGAATGATAAGAAAGTGGATTTAAGGAGATCGACGCAGTACTTTCCACGCGTTGGTATAAATTCTGACTACAACTGCGTTATCAATAATAAGAAAACAAGGTTTTTTGACCACGTCTAGGATAAACCAGAGAATTGAAACAATTAAAAAACCAAATTTTCATTATTTAAGGCCTTCAAAACAATCTTTAGACTAAAAACGATCAAAGATTTCAAAATATGTAGTGGTTTGGGAATGTTCGTGATTTTTCGTTTTTTTTATTCATATACAGTCATTTATTCATATCAGTCGCCAATATTTTCAGCATAGTAGTAGAAATAATTAAAATCCGAGTAGTACTTGTCGAGTTACAAGATGCGTATTTATCCATCGGACAGATGAAACAGGCAGACCGACGAAAGTAAATGATATGTTTTTTTGTCATGTCTTGGGGTGTTTATACAACCTTGTAACATAGTCATAAGCATATACATGAGCATAATCATCGTCACAAGCTGGAAGTGTATTTATAGAACTGTGCTAACCGTACTCATAAGTAGTTGTCAATTTGTGATTTTAACAGACGACAGCCTTCTGGCCTCTCATTGTTAGTCTAACAAAGATTGAAATAAAAAAATCAAATACAGTTGAGCAAATGGCAAACACGACGAAAATCAAAAGCAAAATTGGACAGCGATAACAACAGTAAACCACAAAACTTCGTAAACCGACAACACTTTGACACTTCGCAGAATACCTTTGACAGTTTTGACACGTAGACTTGGTATATGACGTTTCAGTCATAACAATAAGAATACTGCTCAAAAGTTACGAACTTCAAGGTCATCCCACTATTATAATTATGCTTATGAATATGACAAGTTGTATAAACGCGTTCATAGGAAATACGTACAGGTATTTCAACTCTTAATAGTATGACTATCAAAAAGCTGTATAAGCCCTCCATTAGTCATTCATAAAATATACAAAGTGACATATAAATCCGAACACCCAGTTTAAATGGTTTTATTTTAATAAAATTTTGTATAAGTACTTAATGAAGCACAATAAGTAAATGATAAAAATTTCAAAATGATTGCACTGCTTTAAAGCCCTTTGACCTTTAATAATGTGTGGATGCACCCTGATGTGCTACGCATTCTCCAACGCGCCTAGGCATGCTTTTGATCAGGTGGTCAATGATATCTCATTACAGGCAACCACCAACTCCTCTCGAATTGCTTCTAGAGTCTGAGGAGGACGTTGCAAATTGAGCAATCTCCTACCCATCATATCCCACACGTGCTCAATTGGGGATAAGTCGGGAGATCTTGGTGGCCATGGTAACAATGTACATCATTATGTTGAAAGAAGTCTATTGTGATTCTTGCAACATGTGATCGGGCATTGTCTTGTTGGAAAGTTGGATCTACCAGGGTGTCAAGGTAGGGTAAAAGATGGGATTCTAGAACATCGTGGATATAACGCTGCGCGTTCATGTTACCTCTGATGAAGATTAAAGGTGGCCTGGAACCATAAGCTATAGCACCCCAAACCATAACTCCAACAGTGTGATGAACATGTCTTTCAACAAAAAACTGTGGATTCCTCCTTTCACCACGTCGCCTTCTAACCCTGGCACGACCATCGTGCATGCCTAAGCAAAATCGAGACTCGTCACTAACTGTTCCATTCCTGATCCCAGAGTGACCGTTGTCTGCACCACTCAAGGCGATTACGTCGGTGTAAGGGTTAGAAGGCGACGTGGTGAAAGGAGGAATCCACAATTTTTTGTTGAAAGACATGTTCATCGCACTGTTGGAGTTATGGTTTGGGGTGCTATAGCTTATGGCTCCAGGCCATCTTTAATCTTCATCGGAGGTAACATGAACGCGCAGCGTTATATCCACGAAGTTCTAGAACCCCATCTTTTACCCTATCTTGACACCCTGGTAGATCCAACTTTCCAACAAGACAATGCCCGATCACATGTTGCAAGAGTCACAATAGACTTCTTTCAACATAATGATGTACATTGTTACCATGGCCACCAAGATCTCCCGACTTATCCCCAATTGAGCACGTGTGGGATATGATGGGTAGGAGATTGCTCAATTTGCAACGTCCTACTCAGACTCTAGAAGCACTTCGAGAGGAGTTGGTGGTTGCCTGGAATGAGATACCACAGGAGGACATTGACCACCTGATCAGAAGCATGCCTAGGCGCGTTGGAGAATGCGTAGCACATCAGGGTGCATCCACACATTATTAAAGGTCAAAGGGCTTTAAAGCAGTGCAATCATTTTGAAATTTTTATCATTTACTTATTATGCTTCATTAAGTACTTATACATAAAACCATTTAAACTGGGTGTTCGGATTTATATGTCACTTAGTATATAATGCATCAGTTTCAAAATCTTCTTCAATTGCAATGCTTCCTCGCCAACTGGACTGTGAAGTAAAATACTGTACGAACGTACTCGAAGAAAGAACCTTCAAAATACGTGAGTTTACATGTAATGTAGAATTTATAAGGGCAACTTTTTAACAAACAAAAACTGATTCCAGTTTCTGTCGGTCGGTGCGGTAACAAAGGGATGCCAATTAGTTTTTTACCTTTCCAGCCGACTAATTAATTTTCAACCTTTCTTTATCCTACCATCTCAGTACCATATGGCTCTATGGGGACATTAGGGGCAACTATAAACTTGCCGAATAGATAACAACGCCCTGCTGTGCCCATCCGAATAATCACGTGGCGTAGTGCAGATGGTTTTCTTTCACCGTTATCCATCGTTTTAATTACTGCAGGCATAATCAATCTTAATAGGCACAGTGGCGCCTCATCGCTTCATCGCTTCAAAAATGGTGATTTGATCTTTGGTGTCAACTCGCCAAATCTTACTGCTTTATTCGTAAGATCAACTATACAGGGTGACGACGTTGAGTCATTTATTTTAACAGTGAGTAGATCTGATCAAAAGAAATGTTTTTTTCCTTTACCATTTTTCTGGTAAAATTAAAGTAACAAAGTTATAGCCCTTTGGAAGTTTGAGTACCGCCCTGTCTCAATAATAATATTATGTGCTCGTGTTTAGTAACAACGGATATAATCCGCCTTATCGGTTCATCGCATCGGAAACAAAAAAGCGAAAGAATTTGGAACGATGTTTTTACAATTATTTTATTCAGTTGTATACAGTCAGTGTCAGTCGGTAACGCGTGAGTGAATAGTGGTGTCTGTTGCGTGGCTCAAACGAAATCAAAAATGGCACATGTTTACGAAAATGTTAAATTTGTGGACATGATTATTATTTACGCGGCATCACGGATTTATGCGGATCGGTTTCCCAATCGAGTGAAACCAACCCCTCGTGCCTTGTAGTGTAGTACAAAGGACTCGTGAATCATTTGACTTAAGACCTCACAGGGGAGGGCATGCCGGTGCTCCAAGACCGCACGATCAAATACAGGTCCGCACTGAAATACTTGTCGGGAGGATACTTTATAAAACAAGGTAACATTTTTTTTTAATTTTTTTTTATTTTTACACACATATTTTGGTTTATCTTCCTTCTACAATCATTATCTGAAAATTAATGACTCAACTTCAAAGTTACCCTGTATATTCTTATAACATAAAGTATGCAACTGTAAATATTCAAAGTAATAAGAAATTCGGAAGTAAATTGCCCAAAGAATTTTTCAACTGTTTTTTTCTGTGTTTATTATACGATTCGTTGAAAAAACAGAACAGTGCCAAAAAGCGTAAGTTTAATTTCATGCTATAGGCGTATTACCACAATTTTACCTTTTTTATATTTTTAACTAGCTCCGGTAAGTGTTTTAAGTTCCTTTCTCTATAAGGCCATTTTCAATTTTTTTCGTTTATGTTGTTACTAGACCTAGTTAACTAGCAAAAAATCATCCCTGCTTTAGACAGAAATTGTAATGAACATGAAAAGGCCTCATCGGAGGATACAAAAAATGTTGCTGGTTAGCTTTTTGATTAAACGTAAAAGCTGAAAAAATCGCTGTCTCCTGGCGTGTATTAAATAGTTAAGAATTATTGTTGTAGTGGTGCAAAAAAGTTGTAGGGGATGGAAATACCTTTAAAATGAGACCTTATACGGCCATTTTGACGTAAACGGTAAATTTGTAATTACAAAAATCGTCCAAAATCGTCGATTCCTACATTTATCTTTTACTGAAAGACTTATAAGGGTGAATCTGGAATGAAAGTCAAAGGTTTAAACCTTTGTGAACCGTTTCTGAAAATTTATAACCGTTGCTATTTTTTAAACTGGCGAGAGGTTTAGCGACTTTGGATCAATCAAGTGGCCTAATATTTAGCTCACTCTGCTGTTGAAGACCTCATTTGGCATTGAAATGAAGGACATACCAGATTTTCATATACTAACCATGTGAACACGCGTCGGTAAGGGTGCATATTTTTACCTGATAAGCAGTTAGAGCAAGCCCGTTGTTTTTTCACAGTCGTAATTATGCTCGCCACTAAAGAGCTACTGAAAAGTACACACTCGGACGAATGATATTCGGGGCCCGTGAGAACAATCAAAAAAGGTAATACCTACAGAAAGCGCGAAGCGGTGTTTCCACGTATCCATTACCGGGTACCAACTAATAGTGAAGCGCCTTAACAAACGTGGCTATCGTGCATTTTAGTACCAGATGCTTATTAGCTAATATATGTATACATTGAACTCAGAATTGGAACTTTGTTTCTCTGAATCAACCACGTTTGTAATACCAAAGCTAATTTGCGACAAAACATCACCGAAAACGTAAAAAAGAAAGTTAAGAAAAATACTCGCTATTCATTTGGAAAGGAAATTCAAGTACTGCCTTGTCACTTGTTTCGTTTGTAAACACTGCTTGAAGTTGTCGCTGCTCGATTCAAAAGCACGAGTTCGTTTACCTGTTCCTGAATTTGCAACATTTGGGGCGATCTAGATCTTCAATTATGTTATCGCTATGTAAATAAACATATTATGCAGGATGGAAAGAAACATCGAGGATGATGGCGACGTTTTGAGTTCACTTGCGGAGTATCAATATGATCTTGAAGATAGTCACATCAAATCGATAACTAGAGTTGTACTAATTGAAAAACCAGAAAAGTTGCATCCGCGAAGATATACAGGGTGTTCAAAAAGTATGGATAGATGAAAATATCTTGAGAAATGTGTTTCCTAGAGACAAATGTTGCAGAACAAAAATATTCATCTAGTGGTGATCTTGAACGTAATATCCAAGGTCATTTGATGCCGGAAATATGGAGCGGGGAATTTTAGGTCACCCTGAAAATGATCTTCATGGGTGTTTGAGTGTGTATAGTAAGTAGGGAAAAGATAAAGTATCTCAAAAAATACATTTCATAAAGAAGAATGTGTAATAAAGATGTAAGCTATGAAAAATCATCTAATGGTGGTCTTGTTCTTCAAGCTCGCTTGAAGGTCAAGACAGTTTTCTCAAAAAGAAACCCCCATTTTTGACACCGCAAATAAAAAGAGCAAGAAGCTTTATGTTCAAGTACGTCCATCAACCTTACTATCACCATCAAGGTCATTTGAAGATCAAACGAATTTTTAATGGACAGCAAATATTGAAGTAATCTCCTCATTTTGTCGCGGATATAGAAAAACGAATCATTTTCAATTTAATTTATGTTGGATTAAAACGTTGGATAAAAAATGTTGCCAAAGCAACTGTTGCATTACATTGAACCTTTAACTCTACTTGCACGCGAGCGGGTCGCTGGGTTAGTCTAGTACTGCTATACAGGGTATTTCAAATTCGACCCTCTAAATCCGCCCTTGATGGTTAGCATAAGAAAATTTCCGCCGGTCTGTTTGTCTGTCGCATTGCCCGCTAATACTTGGCCCGTCTATAACTTGGAAGGTACTAGTCGGATTTGGATGTAATAAGGACGAAAAAGCGTTTGAAAATCGGTAGAGTGGCGGCGGTGGAAAAGATCAAAGATGAAAAAATAAGAATCGCCCAAACTTCGCTTTTTCACTTTTTAGGCTTGATCGCCTTTGTAAAAACTTTCAGGGATACAAAAATGATGATGGGGGTTGTAGGGGAGATGAGGCAGGTTATATATTTTTTTTATTTTACTATATATACATGCTCTCAATTTCGGTAATTCTACGCACCTATTAGATATATTCCACAAGTCATATATTACCTCGTACATTCGCTACTAAAACTTGATGAGAATGATAGAGAAATGCGTTCCTGCTTCTGCTTTCTGCGCTCACCGGCGAGCGCGCTGGCTTTGGTAAGTGCACTAGCATTACTACCACTGTGCTTCTCTCTGAGCGCGTTGTGCGGTCAGGCCTCGGTGAGATGCGACGTTGCCAGATGGACGGTACCTGTTTGACTGACATGATCTGTTTAATGTCTTTGTAGTACATATTCGTAAATCACTTTTTTCTCAGAGAGTCTAACTTGTGTTGAACATAGTCCTTTATGAACTGATAACGGATTTGCGGGGAAAGTGCAGAGTCAACCTAATTGACACCATTTTTTTGTCTTAACAAATGAACTGTTGTTCATTCATTTTGAAGGTATTTTCATCCTCTTCAACTTTGAGTCACTTACATCAATAATTCATGAATATTTTAGTAATTTTTGCAAATTTGACGTTTTGTAACGCTCGATGAGTGGCTTTTTCATATACCTTCAAGAATACAGGGATAATTCCGTTCTAGAGCAGCTCATACAATTTTTTTTCGTTATATTCTAGATATCCTGGACTATACAATGAATTTCAGCTGTCTAATTTGACCCTTTCATAAAATAGGTTGGAGGAGGGGGCGCGCTGAAAAGCACTGACTAGTCCATATACATTAATGTCGACTTTTATAAATATACAGGTACAGTGAAGAAGATCTTCCCACTTCATTTTTCAAAAGGGTCAACTGCTGAAATTTGAGATGATGAAATGTTATATTTTAGCGTATAAATGGTACTTGAACATTTTAAGATGGTGGCTCTGAGCCATCGTGGCAAATTTCTCTAAATTGAATGGGGATCACGTGGTACCTCATTTTGAAGGTCCTTATGAGTGCTCAACTGTTAAATTGATGGACTGGTGGGCTGCTAAAGCTGAGCGTTTTTGTAGATTGAATCTCTTATAATGCAACTTATCATAACAACGCTATAGTATGTTATACCAAACTTCTCTCTTGAGAATCCACATCTGAATGTTCAGTAAAATATGGGTCGTTCGTTTAAAAAATTGACAAATTTTGATAATATTTAAAAAAATAGTAATAGATGTTAGAAATATTTTAGACTAAGGTAAAAACGCGAGTAAAACCACTCCGCACTGGTACATTGAATGAACCAGTGGTGGCTTTGCATCTATTCCAAAATCATGGTACTCTACTGAAAAAGGATATCGCTTGCGTAGTTGCGATACCGCCGTATTTTGCACTTAATTAACGTTCTTTTTTATGCTAGACTATTATCAAGAGACCTTTTCCATAATAAATGATTATTTTAGTTAAAATAGTCAGTCAATTAGAGGGTCATAACCGTTTAAACCTACTCGTCGTATAAATTTGAGGAAGACTATACATTATAATAAGATGAAACGTAGCGAATTAACTAGGATGCAATATGTTGGGTTTGGAAGCACTAGGAGCAGATGCAGTATTGAAGAAGAAACATAATATAATAAATAATGACGAGGATGCCACAGTTTTACTTGCATCAGCTGCTTTATACGAGTATATTGTTATGGACAAACATATGGAGATTTTCTATCCCACTCTAACCAGCACATGGTGTTATAATTTGTTCTTTAGAAAAGTCTATGTTCCTTTGTTAATATTCAGATACAAAATTTAAAAGTCATCTGCTTAAATATGTGCTAAAATTTTGGATAAACAAACATTTTTTGATGTATCTCATGTGTGGAATATGAGTTTTTAGAGGCTTTATGTATTGTATACAGACGTATAAATATTAGTAAGGAAATGTATATTCTGGATCAAATTGTTTTATCTAAAATCGAGTCTGACATTGAGCTAATTCTGAATAAAATATATTCAGTAATGCAAAATATATGTAATAACATTAGATACTGATGAGATGAGTTCTACTTAACTAATGTCATGGCACAACATTACCAAAACATTGACCACACATACCTATTGTTCCGGTAATACTATTAAACGGTGGCTATAGATTTGTCATTCTAATAATTTGTTTTTTAGTTACATATTTATTTCAGTAACAAGGAATCGCTCAAGTGGTTCGAACAGATAACTAAAGATGAATTCATAAGTAAAAAATGGATACAAATTGTAAAGTGTAATGACAACGTTTATACAAATACAAATCTACTTGACACCTATTTTTTTTTATGTTATGTCATACTACCTCAACAAAACAAATTATCGACCAGGTCTAACGTAGTTCTGGAAATTGATATGGAATTTCGATTTGCCACCTAATGGGAGCCATCGGTACTGAACTATGGTTTTACTTTATGTTCTTTACGCATACTGGTTAATCTCATTTTCTCCTCAGTTTTGAGCAAGTGGTGTCCAGATTTTAAATCGGGTTTTCAAAGTCTCATAAATTATCTACTACGTTCAAAAAATAACCTGAAATGGAACTGACCTGCTAAAAGATAATCGCTACGCCCACAGCGGATGCGGCATGGTCCGGCTGTCTCTGGGCAAACTAGACGTGTGCTGCAGGAAAGGCGGCAGCTTTCCAGGAGGCGGTGGAGGTGGCAACCCAGGACTCTGCGCTCGATGTGAAGTAGCAGTCGCATAGATGTTCAGAGAAGACCCCTGGTGCATGCACGGCCTTCTCACGTCAGGCATTGCGAACTGCAGCTTCTGCCAGAACTGTCTGTCTCCCCACTCTATCACTGTGTTGGTCTTCAGGTACAGTCGCAGATCGGGATCCAAATCCCGCTGAGGTATCTCCCCGAACACTATGAAGATCAGCTTACGCCGCCTGTCTTTCATTACCTCGTGTAGTGCTGATTTGAACTCGAACCTGCACCACTCGTTATATAGAAAGTTCGTTGATATCACTACAATTGTTCTTCGAGAAGATTCCACTGCTTCTATGATAGTGTCAGCCACGTAAGCCGACACGTTGAAGTCTCTATAGTGGAGACACAGTCTATAGCTAGGATCTCCCGATTCTAAACCGGAAGTGATCACTTGCGTGACAAAAGCCTCATCTTTCACACTGTAACAAACGTACGCGTCAAACAGTCTGTCCTTGTCTTGCTGCTCCTCAAACGCGGTGGTTTTGTAGCACATACGCAAGCCGCATCGCGAGTATATCCACACCCTTAGCTCCCTACGGTAGTAGAACGCCCCACAAACTATCACAACACTAGAAATGAACACGCACATGGTCACCAACAGCAATGGCAGATAATCGTTCATGGTCTGAGTTTCCATAATGGCTCGATTACTGCCCGAGTAAACGTTCACACACGAAGAACTATTGAAATCCGACACGTGAGGGCCGATGAATTTTGTTATGTTGTTATACATACACGCTATTTTGCCCGCATCAAGAACTTTGGCGTAGTTAATTTCCAGCCAAGTTTTGAATTTCGTCACGTATTGGCAGTCGCAAGACCAGTGATTGTATGCTAGTCCTATCTCCACGAGATAAGGATTCAGTCCCAGTTGCCATATTTCAAATGAATATAACCTGTTCCCATCCAGTCGTATTACTTCTAGGTGTTTAAGTTCTAGAAACGTTCTATTGTCTATGAAATGGATCATATTTTCCTGCAGGTAAAGTTCTCTCAAAGACTCCAAACTAGCAAGTTCGAACCCAAGCAGTTCCTTTATCTTGTTATCTTCAAGATGTAGAATAATTAATCGTTTCAGGCCGCTAAACGTGTGATTGTATATTGCAGCAATATGAGAGTTATTAGCGTAAAGAACTTTCAAATTTTTTCTACCAATGAAGGAGTGACTGGATAGTCCTCCAAAGTTATTACCGTCCAAGTAAACTTCTGTAGCATCCATAGGAATGTTACTAGGCATCTCGGTATAACCTACTCCGGAGCACTCAACAACATTTGCAGCCCAAGATTGGTCATGGTAGCACGTACAGTTCGTCGGACAGGTCATTTCACAATCACATGCATCAAAGTCACAACAATGGCACAAGGCGAAGCAATGAGTTTTGTAGGTGCACAGGAATTGCGAGGAATCTGCTTCCATCAGTGGCAAGTAATTGCTATCACGATTATAAAGCAACTTACAGTAGATGCTTTCCAAGTCCATGACTCTCGGATGTTGTCTGTGATGATCCAGCGCGTTGATTCTTTGCAGCCACTCCATAGTACAATCGCACTGGTACGGGTTACCTCCTATGTAGAACTCTGGTAGAGGCCTTGCCGGGTCAACTGGAGTCAATTGCAGGGCAGTCAGGTCCATACTAACAATTTGATTCGCGTATAAATCCACTCTCGTGAGATTCACTTTCTTCAAGAATGTGTGTGATTCGACCTTTGTGATGAGATTATCATTCAAGAACAACAACTGTATGCTGCTTGGAACCGACGCGGCATTGATCTTCGTCAATCTATTAAAACTGGCATCCAGCGTCTGCAACTGTAATTCGAAGTCAAGGTTGTAGTGGTTCCCAAGTTCGACGACGTTGTTTTTATGCATATCAAGCCAATGCAAACCGCGCGGGATCAACGCATAATCGAACCATTCTAATTGGTTATCCGATACGTTCAGCCACAACAGAGTCGATACTTCTGAGAACAGACCGTTAATGTCAGTCAATTGGTTTGCATCCACTCTGATCGCTTGCAGATTGTTACTAAATACAAACGCACCTTGTTCCACATTCTTTATCCTATTTCTGGCTAAGTTCAAAATTTGCAACGTATGTAGATCAGTGAAGGCGCGTTTGCTCACATTCTGAATTCTGTTTCCGATTAGTCGTAAGCCGTATAGGTTGTGCAGCCCCCGGAATCCCGGATCTTCTATCACTGAGATGAGATTTTCGCCGAGATCCAAAGTTCCCAAAAGCCGCATATCTTTCAAAGCTAACGGGACGGATTTTAGCAAGTTTCCGTTTAAATTCAACTCCTGTAAACTGGAACAGTTCCTGAATGCCTCTGGGTGAATTCCTTCCAGCACGTTATTATCCATAGCTAATAGGGACAACACGTAGAGACCATTCAACGAGTAGGCGTCTAGGTACGTGATTTTGTTGAACGAGAGAATCAACGTATGTAGATTGTTCATAGGTGCAAAAGTATCGGCAGGGATGGTTTCCAGAGAGTTGTGTTGCAAGTTTAGAATCTGAAGTGTATATAGATCCTTGAAGAACGATGGCTCCAGCTTTGTAATTCGGTTAAAGGAGAGGTTCAGTAGCACCAAGCGTATCAATCCTGAGAAGGTTTCCGCGTTGATCCAAGAGCTAGTCAGCAGATTCCTCGATAAATCTAATGCGAGAAGTTGTTCTAGATTTGTAAACAAACCAGGTGCAAGTACACTAATCGAATTGTTTTGCAAGTAAATCTCTCTAATTGAACTACCACAGTCTTTGAACAACTCCGAGGGCAATGCAACCACCTTGTTGTTGGACAAATCAAAAACTTGCAGGGACTTTAATCCTGATAGTGCCTTGTCTGCAACCATGGAGATTTCATTGTTATGGATATACAGTTCTCGAAGTCTTCGCAAAACACTGAAGCCGTTCGCTGGGATCAGCACAAAGTGGTTAAATGACGTATCCAGTACCTGGATGTCCAAACTACATGGATTCGCTAAAGTCCTAGCAGCCTCAGAGTGATGCTCTGGGTCATCTTCAGATACACTTATCAATGGTTGAGGAGGTTCTGGAGCTTTTTCTCGAAATCCTAAGTCGTTGACGTCTTGCAGACGATTCTCACTCACGTTTAGGAACACTAAGTTGATGAGTGGACAGAAAAGATTCTCAGGGAAGGACCAAATATTATTACAGCTGAGATCAAGTCGTTCCAGCTGTCGGACTGACATGAAACTATCACGTGCGAAGTCCAGGTTCATTGCTGGCCAGTCAGTGTTATGTGTCTTGATGGATAGGTTTCTGAGGTCTCTCAAGCCCAGTAAGGTTTCAGCAGGCCATCGCCCTAATTTGCAATTCTCCAGTTCCAACGCTCTGAGCTTACTCAAATGGACGAAGCTTCTATCATTCAAACTGCTCCTTGAAAGGATTTCGGGATTGCATGCTATACGTAGCGCAGTCGTGTGTTCCGATGGTATCACGCTAAAGTTCGTATTGTCAAACTCGCTGTTGATCGTCCTAAGATTGCAGGTAAGCGCCACTTCCTCAGGGGCTGCAGGATATAACCACCATTTGCAGTCCTCAGGAGCATCGTATCTAATTGGAATTGATGGTGATGAGGTCGTAGTGTTTCTTGAGTAATCAGCAACCACTGTCACACCAAACACAAACACTAACAGCAAACGTTGAGCCATTTTGAGCTGTCACGATACGGGCATATCGACGATGAATGGCACAAAGCTTGTTTACGTTCTGTACATTCCGATAGCAAGCTTCAAACACGACCGATCTCCGCGACGGTCGGCATAGGACTGAAGTGGATGCTGCCGGTCGGAAGGTCCGCCAGCGTTAGCGAGGATCCCGGCTTTGACGGCGCCGAAGATTGACGGATGGCGCCGGAAACGGACGAAACATAAGGGCGACCCGCCTCGCGCAACAAACTTCGCCGATGTGGAGGGGTGCAGTTTGGAAAAAAAACCCGACTTGTTAAGGATAAAATTTAGCGGACAATTGCTGCGGTATAATGGAGGGTGTTTTGATACTTGGGAGTTTTTGAAGATTATGTTCAAAAGAACCTACACAGTTTTTAGAAAAAAATGGACGCCAGCGAGAAAAACGTATCTCTGAGGTGTCCTAAGCGTATGTAGTATTTTGTATTATACTTTGTAATTCAGGAAAGAAAACGATCTCCATTTAGTCCACCGCTCAGAGCTTCAAAAAATGGTTATTTCAAAAAAATAGGGGCAGGACAAAAATCATCGTGCACGTGCAGTCTAGGTATTTATGAGACAAAATCGTTCTCAACAAAAGGGTAATAAATCAACGACAATGGTGAAACTTGTTGAACAAATAAACCAGTTTAGCTTCTTGTAGCAGCAAATTCTGAAACAACTTTAAGCAAAAAATAATGAATGGTTCAAATTTATACTCGTATTAATTTTTGTCATTGGAATAGAAAACACCCAAGTGTGATACTACAAAAGTGTGGCAATCAGGGATTAAAATTGGAGCACTCATCACGCGTTTCGCTGAGACTTTCTAGATCAAACGCTTCTTCTAGAGTTTTTGGAGGGTTACCGATTTGCGAGTAGCTGCTGCTTCTCTTGAAATTTACTCGTACATTTCTTTACCTTCCGTTTGTAATTGTTATCCTCTTTATATAATACTGAGACTTCCTCTCATTTTATCCTATGTCTTGTTTCACATATGCATGTTCGCTTAGTGCGGATTCTGAGGTTTCTTTCATTGTTGAATAGCCTTTATGTTCTTTTATTCTATATTTGAACAGTCTTGATGTTTCACCGATGTAGTATTTAAAGGCTATTTTATATATTGATTTTTTTTTGCTTATAACTGTAACACTAATAGGATTATTCGGCTGCGGTAAACGAGGGTGACGTATCTGGTGTATTAAAAGAACCACAGATAGTCTCATGCTCGCTTGTCATTTTGGAGGGCTGGACGTTCTTTTTTGGAAAAGGGAATGCCTACCCAGGCGCTCCTGTGCTATAATGATTTGGTGTGGTGCCACCTTATCATTCGGAATAATGTAGACTTTTGTAGTAACAGGCTGTATATGAATGCAGTAATGAAAATAAAAAGCAAACGAACTGTCTCACCTGCAAGACAGACAAATAAAATACCTATCTTATTATACTGAAGAAGATCACATTTGTGATTGAAATGTTTACAGTAAAGAAGATTCTGTCAATACATGTGGTTTTATTGGTTAGACAAGCCTGGCCTGGGTGATTATAGACATGTAAATCACATAATATGTTTCAGATATTACATAGGTGTTCCAGTAATCGTTGCAGGATATTTTGTAGTTTCTCTATTCAAAAGTTATAGAAGGGCTGCCAAAGACTGTTGCACAATGGAGCTTCGATCGAACAACTGAGCTATATAAAAGCTTAATTCTATCATTGGCCAGTAATTCGCGACCACAAAGCCCAACTTTTCATTACTTTCTGTAATAATTATTTCCGTGTCACCACTGTTGAAAATGACACCTAAATCATTATTAATCAATTAATAAGCATGCCACCAATACCACAGCCGAACATCATTGAGTTTTGTTGGTATAATCCACATCCACATCATACTCCTCAGCGTTTAAGGGCATGCCATTTTTTCGACACCAGCAGTTAAGAATGCTCATGCTGCGAGTCTCTTATGACAAAGAAGTTTGAGATCATCAGCATATAAAAGAAAGGGAACATCTAATATACATAATGAAACATAAGGACACTTGGATAGATCCTTGACGGGAAGGCTTAACCGTACAACTGGTAGATCTGAAGCCGTTGCGCCAGATTTAATAAGCGAAAAGATATAACCAGTCACACCAAAGTTAGATAACTTCTCAAGGAGAACTCAAAATAAATGATATCCATATGTAGCTATTGATCGCTTTTACATGGAAACATGCTGTCGGGTTATTAAAATATTATGAACGTACCACTAAGCTACATCATAAATGAGAAACTCAAACGCTTTTGAAAAGTTGTTAGTAATCGTGATATGCCTTTAATTTTCTATATCGGACTTGTTACCTTTATTCTTAAATACGGAACAGACCTTTCAAACCTCCACGAGGACAGATAGACACCAGTTTTTTGCGCCAGGTGATGTACTGTTGTTAGGCTTTGCAAGCACAAATTGATGAATAGTCTTTCAATATAAACACAGGAATGCCATCTGGTTCGTAAGTTAATTTAAGTTTTAGTTTTCTCAAGGCATTATACACTTTATTGACATAAAATTTAGTCAGGACACAAAGATTGTCAGCGAAACTCAATGCTTTATAATCATTCAAGACCATTTCATAAGAATGTCGCGTTAGCGTTCTAAACACTGTCATTAAATTAACGCGAGAATCGTCTATGACATTTGGTATTACATTCTGCATCCCATAAGATTAACTATACGCTTGTTCATCATGTAGGCTATCAAGAAAGTACCATTCAGTGCAGAAGAGTTAATCGTACAATAAAGAAATATTGGATTTTCTGAAATTAAAAGAAACTAGGCGTTGCAATAAACATGCTCTGCTTTCATCCGTCTAACAAACGACAGCCAACCGTGGACAGCTGTTTCGTACTTTTTCGCTATTCCTCAGCATAGTTTATTTAGGGTTGGGTCTCTCGGAAAATGGAACAAAGCATAACTGTTAGAAATGGGAGATCTATCGAAATTAAACAATGCGACCAATGCGAACAGTGAATCACAGCCTACTGATTGAGACTGTATTGATCTTAGTCCGAGACTTGAAAGCCCAGTCACCACGTGATGACTCAAGCTTCGTTTTTTAATGTTTTAGATGATACTGATCACTTTTGAAAAAAATTAGAGCTGAAAAATTGTTGGTGAGGGGTTGTAGGCGGGTTGGGGAGGGTTTATCTTTTGATGTCAGTATATTAATATACTTCCAACCCTGGCAGTTCTACGTAGCTTTTAAGCATATTTCACACATTATAGATTTCCCTGCACATTAAATTTGTCCTCTTAACTTTTGTGGTTCCCGACACATTGCTATTGCGTGGATATCCAGTATACGAGAGGACATTTGTACATATAGCAGGGGTAATCTAGTAGTAGTTGCTTCAAGTTTATGATCCAGATTAGAGTTCTTGCGTCCTACTGGGTGAATACTGTAGTTTCTTTAGACGTATGGTTCCAGTTCTTAAGCTCCCACAGCTCAGAAATTCAAATCCCAGAACATCCACGATTCTCTGGTACAAACAAGTTCATAAAACTTCAAAATTGGATTCATTTTTCCATAGCTAATCTCTCGCACTTCTTGTTGTTCAATTGAATACTTTTGTAGCAAATGTGGTATGCTTGCGATGCGGTGCAGAGGTTAAGCATTGAGTGCAACGCTTAGCTTATGCAGATGATGATGATGACGGTAAATTACTCACTGATGGCCCCCAGACTCATTATGGTGGTTTGTCATTTCTAACAGCAATACCCCGAAAGAAATCAGCCCGGTTGACCAACATTGGCAGTTCACTACCATCCACGGGCCACAAGAGAAATCATAGACGATGTTCCCAGCCCTTCCCCCTTCCCAAACATCCACAGGAGGCTCGGGTATGAAGGATTGGCATAAGCTTTTGTGACAGGAAATTTCAAAGCAGGAAAGCCTATCAGCCGCACTATGGAGTTGGCAGAAAGTGCATAGGAAATGCAGAGTTAGCCTATTTCTCAAAGGTAGATAACCACCGACATATCTTGAGTTTTGTTAGGTGCTAAGATAACTGGCATGACCTTTTATACTATGACAGATTGCTATCATAGTAGGCATTAATTTGAAGAATATCAAACTTTAATCTATCAATACTTTATTGGTTCTGAAGGGAAAGTGATCAAATCAACTTTTTCTCGATGCCAGTGTATGGATCAAATTGCACTACATAGAAAATTGTACTAGAAGCCGTTCCGAAGCGGTGGGAAATATAGAGGTAATCTACTCGATGCCTTTTTTTCATTGATGAATCAGTATGTTTCCTACCCTGACCACGTCTCCCGGATACAACACTGGGTATCTTGAGTCATATCTTTCGCACCCGAGAACAACGCACATGTAGATACCCTACGAAGTGCCAGATGCTTAATGACCTAAAGAAACGATTCACGCAATCGTACCTTTTCTTCAAAAGAAGAATCGATTGTTGCAGCTGTATCGAAATGTCCTTTTCTGACCTGCTACCTATATTTTTACGCACAAAGCCAACTCAAAGTGTCGTTTGGAATGCTGATATATGTCCGCCGATACAATTAGTCCTTAGGTAAGCGGACGCCAGGTACTTTATTTCTTTTGAATAAGTGACAATTTAAAAACGCTTTGAAGTGGTTTCCATTTCGTTAACAAAGCGACAGCCCGTCGATGCTTACAATGGAACAAAATGAATACCTTTTAAGTGGATTTTGAATTTGTTGTAAAGGACGTTCTTTTTCTTTGGGATGTTTAAGATCTAATTTGTTGCGTTACAGCAGAACCGACTTCGCTTGTTTGGTGATGCCATTTTTTGTTAGTGGCACGAGGTAGGCAGATGCACTGTGTTCGCTTTACAATAGGGCAAAATGTTCTCTTGATGTACTAGAGCTTAGTTAATGTACTGGCAAGTTAGAGTATGTCCCACTAAAATGCTTCCATAAAAATTTGATCCCATTGTCCAATGACCATCTTTACTCAGTGGTGGTCAGCCAGATTATGTAGCGAATAACACTCGTTGTAAACAGGCACAAAGCAGCATGTAAATTTCGCCTTTGTTGTCGACTTCTGCTGAGCTTCAAATATTTGTCTAACAATGATTTCAGATCATTTGTAACCGAGCATGCGATCCACTAAATTACAAG